GAGTAAATGGCCTCAAGTTGCACCATGGAAGGTTCAGGTTGGATATTAAGAAAACATCTCAGAAAGAACAGTGAGGCAGTGGCACAGGCTGCCCAGGGAAGCAGTGGAGTCACGGTCCCTGGAGGTGTTCAAGAAACATGGGGATGTGGCACTAATGGACATGGTTAGTGGATATGGTGGAGATGGACTGATGGTTGGACTGGATGGCATTAGTGGTCTTTTCCAACCTACGTAATTTTAGGATTCTGTGATTATTAGCATTGTGTACTGAATATTTTCACTGAAGTTGCAAGGCAACATCAGCTTTGTAATGTACAGGTTGCGGAACACAATAATATATAGTAGTATTGCACATTATTAGGAAGCTGATATATTGTTGAACAAATGTAACACAGGTAATGAATTAAAAGAACACATACTCATAATTGTGATTTTTTTGATTTTTTGATTCACAGTTCACCATATGTGTAATATGTATTCTTCTAGTAAATGTATAGCAGGGCAGTGGGGAAGAAGGCCATTTTTATGTACTCCTTGATGCTGCCTTTTTGGATCAGGTATAATTTCTCTGGAAGGAGGGAGGTACATAGTCACAGGTATACATTATAGTTTCTCTAATAAGAATGTTTAGATATAAGAAGCACCTTGGCATTGGAGTGACATTGGCAGGAAATGAGTAGGACAGCAAGCACACACACAGGAGCAGATGAGGATGCATGGGGGCTTCAAAGGAATAGCAGTAGTAGGGCTTGCACATTAGAAGTATTAAGGTTGCACAGTGAATAAGACAAATATACACATTATTTGTTAAGCAGGCAGTTATTGGAAGCCAGTGGAAAGCGAGAAAGGATCTAACCTGTTAGAATATGAAAGGATCTAACCTGTTAGAATATGATGGTCAAAAGAGAGATGTGATATCAATTCCCTTTTTATTTATTAATTTTCCCTAGCTGATCAGAATCTGCTCTCTGTCTAAAAAATCAAAATAAAATAAAATTTTATAGTGGCTTCAGGAACTTTCAGGAACATTTTTAAATGTCAAGTACCATTGTATGAATAATACTTCTCTGAGTAAATTCTTAGAATAATAGAATTGTTTGAGTTGGAAGAGACTTTAAAGACCATCTTAGTCCAACTCTCCTGCAATGAACAGGGACATGCACAGCTAGATCAGGTTGCTCAGCATCTGATCTAGCCTGGCCTTGAGTGTCTTCAGGCATGGGACATCCACTACATCCCTGGGCAGCCTTTTCCAGTGCCTCACCACTCTCACTGTAAAACACTTTTTCCTTATTATATCCAGCCTAAACCTCACCTCTTCTAGTTTGGAATCATTTCCCCTTGTCCTGTCACAGCAGACCCTGCTGAAGAGTCTGTTCCTTCCCTTCTTGCAGCCCCCTTTAGATACTGAAAGGCAGCTATCAGTTCTCCCTGCAGCCTTCTCTTCTCCAGGCTGAACAGCCCCAGATCTCAGCCTGAGTTATGTCTTCTTTTCGGTTTAATGAATTTCTTTCTTTTCTGTCCTTGTCTATCATTAACTTTCTGTCTCCTTCATTGCAGTCTTCATGGATCTTCAGGTTCTTTATTCATTATTTTTTTTTTTAGGTAAACTCATTAGACATGGTTCCTTTTCTCTTTCAGCATCTCAATATTTCAATCTTTCTAGTCTCCAAAGACAGAAAGAATGTAATTTTTCTGTTCTGTGTTCCATTGATAAATTATTAAAAACTGTAGGCTAGACATTTTCATTCCTATTTTTCATTGTTTCATGGAGACCAGGCAAGTGTCAGAAGTCAGACTGCCACAGTGAAACTTTCATCCTGCCAATATGAATGGAATCATTTGTTCCTAGATTTAGGGTGGTATTCTTGCCCACATGAAATCCTGCTATCTTTTGCAGCTGGCTTAGAGGCTAAGCAGGTCACCCCATACTGGTGATTTCTCCAGCACCTCTAATTTTGACAGGTTCGATACAACCAGCATTCCAATTAATACAATTTACCAGCATTTTTTCTCCTATATTTATAATAAAAATATACCAAATAGGATCTAAATTTAGCTCAGTCCCACAGTTTTGTGTTTCATCCAGACTGCTGCTGCAAAACCATCCAATTCCATGAATCTGGCTATAAATTCATATTAAGATTTTTTTTTTTCTTTGCTTGGTTTTTTAACTGATTTTCATGCATTTAATGAATATTATTTTTCCTATGCAATTTTCTTAATTCTCCTTCATGAATTCCAGTTGTTAACAGAAAGCACACAAGTATATATTAGTGATATTTTTTGACATAAAGACATAAATAAAATACAGAATCTCACTGAACAGTTTGAAAGATCAGACCTTTTACAGTGTACAAAAAGCAGTGGGGTCATTAATCTTATTCAACACCAAAGTCTTCAAAAAGATGATAGTGCTAGTCCTAACTGTGAAAAATATGCATTACAAATATTGCATTCTAGAAGCCATGTGAGTTGAGTCTCTGAATACCAGAAACATTGACAAATTTGCTTTGGAAGTTTTTTTTAGTGTTTATTTGGTGTGTAAAGAGTGAATTCTATTACTAAAAATAGAAACTTAGAAAAAGGAAATTTCAGTCTAAATGATTTAAAATATAATACATCTATGATCTGTATATGGCTGTAATCTTGACTTTATCTGTAAGTCTCCGTTCAAATAGCCTGGCTGTCGTACAGACTTCTCCTGAGTATAGGAGTGTTTAAGAATATTTTTCATCTTAAATGGTGAGATTTTTGAATGAGAGTTCATAGGCCGGAATGTGATGTAATGTAATTTGCTAATACATGTCCTCAAGGGCACATCAAACTATTTTAGTTTTATAAGCAATGAAGTGAAGGCAGAATAAGAATATCACAAGTTTTATGTGACTGATCCCATAATTTACATTGTTGAACATTTGCTTAAACTGTTAATATATTCAAAATTTATAGAAATAGCCTTCTTGAAATGCCAGCACAACCTCATAGTTCCATTAAAGCTGGTTGGGCTAGAAAAGTATTGAAATATACTCATATGTAGGCATAAATGACTTTTTAAAAAAGTGGGCTTTTTTCCTGTTTTTGTTTGTTTTTCAGCAGATGCTTCTGAAATGACTGAGAGACAAAGTAATCTGATGTTTGCCAAGCCAGGAGGAAGTGTCACTTTTACTTGCCCTTACGATATTGGAGGTTTGGTGCAGCAAGTGAAATGGGAAAGGATTAAAGCAGGTGGGACAGATACCATTGTCCTGTGTAACTCAGGAGGAGAGCGAAGATTTGGCTCAGATTTCATAAAACGTGCACTGGTGGATTGCTCTGGTCAGGCAAGCTCAAAGATTGTCATTCAAAACGTCACAGCTTCCGACTTCGCAAAGTACCGCTGCATGGCTACTGGAAGAAATAAAACCTTTGTGATGAGTTTCACTGTGGTTGGTAAGTAAAGAAGGTAGTGGTAAATGTTTTCAGGACCTTCTGAGGCATTAGCATCTTCACCCATAACAAATAACACTCCAGTAATAAGTGAGAGTTTATTCAAATGCCACATTCAAATTAGCAGTGTGAGAAAGATGACAAAGTTAACAATCAGTCTGGTTTCCGTGGAAATAAGCTGGTTTAGCTTGTCTAATGTCGTAACAGGACTTCAGATCTGTTTGTGAGAAGCTGATTTGATGATAGGAAGGAGACTCTTTGAAAGAGGAGACTGCAGAGTTTGCAAGGGAAGAACACTGATCTCCTGAAGACGTGGGGCGGTCCCCATTAACACAGTGTACTGCAGGGCATGAACCTTGGTCCTAGGTGAGAGACCTGTCTTCCAGTGGGAACTAAGAGCAAACTTCTGTTGTAAATGTAGAATCTGTAGAATTGTTCAATTGTTCAGACTGTGCTTTGTTCAAGTAAGGAATTTCCATAGCAGGAGCTGAATAATTCTTCAGGTTTTGCTGGGACTATTTTCACAGTTTGATTATAATGGAAGCTTCGGTCTCCATACACAGACAGATAAAATTAGATTGCTCAAACTGTGAGCTAAATCCCACTTTTAGTTCTATGTTCTGTTATGACTGTAAAAACAGTTCAGTTTTAGTTCTTCTGTGTAGAAGAACTTTTTCTCCTTTTGAAAACAGAGTTCTTGTACCACCCCAGCCCTTCTTCTCCTGTTGTAGCATTCAGGCCAGCTCTCTGCTGTCTTTGGTACTGCTTTTGTTAGTGTTAATAAATGAATGCTGGCAGACATCTGTTTGGCAGCACGTAGAGCTGTGGCATGCAGTATAGAGCTTCAGAATATGCTTCATCTCAGATACATGTATTGAGAATGCACTCAGGAAGAAAAAGTTGATAGATTTTACTCTGAACACTTGACCACGAAAGTCCATGAAAATGAACAAAATGTGATGAAGCATCAGGCAAATAATTTCTCTCACCTCTAAAATTTTTTAACATTCAATTTTCAAAATATTGACTATATTCATATAATTAAGCATTCACAATTTGTATAGCAATTAAAATATTTTGTTTGCTCCAAACAAAGTGTTTCTTGTACCAAACCTAAATCAAATAATGAGTTGCCAAACAGCCTCAACTTTAAGACCTACCTATGCAAATTCTTTCTAGTTAAAAACAAAACAAAGCAAAAAATAAATAAAGACATTGCCTGTTTTGATCTTGAAGAAAATTCTATTTATCATAGCTGGTTTTAACACCAGCATAGTTATGCGTTACTGTTGGAGAAAAAAGGTATGAAACCACTGAAGAAGCTCAAGTGTGATTCAGAAAACAGTCCTCCTCTAAAACACTCTACATTTTGATACACTTTATTTTGCTTTTTTTTGTTATTCCAAAAGAAGTGAAGCATCAAAGATTTCCAATTGTTTGCCTTTAATGTTTAGATATGTTTCATAATGCATGACTAATAGTTCCACGGGGATATGGAGAAATGCTAAGAGGAAAGCAGAGAGAGGCCAGGTGTCGGCTCCCACAGACCCTGTGAAGAACTTCACTCAGAGTTTCTTACTCTGCTTTGGTGCAGTTTTAATGAAAGAGTGATGACAGAAACTAGATGTGTTAATTTTTGTATATGCTCTATCAGTTCAGACACTTCATTTTCCTTGGGTAAGTGTTACAGCTAAGCCACAGTCTAGGCTTGGATTTGGTACCAAACTCTTCCAATGATTTTATTCTGTTGATGTAATTCTGCATGGGTACTGCAGATCTTCTTACCTTGGCCAGTGACAGAGGCATTCGGAAATACAGAGTCTAGGAGCTGGCAGAATAGTTGCGCTGTGAATAGTAATAGGGAGAACTCTGTTTTGATTGAGAGAGAGTAAGAGGAAAAATAATAAACTTTTTGTGTTTATTTTAAGAGAAGCTGTGTATTTAAAGATTCTAAGCATTTCTGAAGAGGAAGAAACTCGTAGGAAAGGAGATATAAAGTAAGGACAAGAGATTATCTGCAGAAATGATAATAATTCTAAAACCACAGATTCTGAGAGGTTACACAGGAGAAAAATGAAGCTTACTTCTTGTCTGAAGGTGGAAGTATTATTGCAAGGAGAAATAACATGAAATTCCTGTGAAGAAAAGAAGAGGAATGTAAGAGAACAGATATTTAGGTATGGGAAAAGCCTTGGCTGCTCTTGCAGTTGCGTCAGTAGAAGTCAGCATGCTTCATTTAATGTTTTTCATCATCAGTGAAAACAAAACCGTGGGATCTGTTCAGTATCATTGCCAGCTCTATCCCACCAAATATTGTTATTTTTGTTTAATAGTAACAGAATTTCCAACTGAAATGGCAGTTCTACAAATCTGTTTTTGACCTTAAAACCTAGAAAACATGAAGTAACATGTATGTAAATCAGTGTGGACTTGCCAAACAACAGCTGCAGAAACAGAAGGCTGAGTATTACATAATTATGTAACATGTTTAAGAGATTTAAGATTAATTTCTGTGTGCTCCTCACTGTTCTGCTGTTTCTGAAAATTCTGCTAATATGGTCATGTCACCAGATTTCACATCTGAACCAATCTTTAATTTTTACTTACCCCATTTTTCCCTCTGATTAATACTTTTCAGCGAGTTTCTGAAGGAAAGAAGCAGATTTGTTATAATTTTGTTTTGGTATATAAATAGGTATTCATAGGTACATTGGTATATAAAAGAAAGGGAGAATGAAAGAAATTGAAAACATGGAAGAAACTGTTATTTCATCCTGAAGACCTAAATGTTGTGGAAAGATTTAATTTCAAAATGAAAATTTACAGGCTTTGAACACCTCTCTCTGGCAGCAGCCACAGAATTGGGCTGACATCTGAGCTCAATGTGTGCAAATGCGGAGGCTTGCAGCACAAATGCACCTTTTGGTATTGGCAGGAGATGAAAGAAAAAAGGCATAGTGAAGTCACATTTCTCCCTACTGATTTACTTGTGTTATGGATAGACTTTAAAATGCCACTTCAGCTGTTTCAGGTGGCTGGGTAAGGCTCTGCAGTGGTTTCTGGGCCACCAGAGACAGTGCCAGCTGGGCAGCCCCTGGGACTACCTTCTGTGCAGTTTGAGACCTGGTGATCTGTGCATGAGGATGATGGATTGAATTTGGGTTGTGCCAGTGAGATGTGAGTTAATGATGTAAGGAAGGTCTGTGCCGATATTTTTTTCTTTCTGGTTTTGGCTTTGTTCATACTTTTTTTATTGTTACAATTTACTATCATTTTGAACCCACCTATTTTGCATGAAAACTACTGTAAAACACAAAAGCCTTATATGATTGAGCTCTATGCAGAATCTGTGTAGCAACTAATGCCTAAAATGGCTGATAGGAAGCTGCTTCAGTTTCAGAGCACTACTAAATTTTCTCCAGTGTATTTTAGCTATAAAAGAGACTTTTCACCTTGGGAACTATTTCCTGATGCCTTCAGTTTTAAAGAACAGGAAGCAAATAATCACAAAGATAACAGGTCAGCATAAGGCAAACCCAGCATTTAGAAAAAAATGGCAGATGAAATGAAAAGCAGGGCAGCCCTTGTAGAGTCACAGCGGGTTATCACACAATCCTTCCAAGCTGGGAGAAAGCAGCAGTACTTCTGTGCCACAGAAAATGAACACAACATAATGCTGTTCTAGTGGGTGAGGAGAATCAAAGTATGAGTGAAATTAGCTTCCTTCTTCATACATGAATTCTTCCTGTATGCATGCAAGATATCAGTCTTTGTCTGTGGATCTCTACTCAAAAAAGCACTTTTCTCTGAGCATAAATGCAGTCACTCTGGATTTCTATCTTTCACTTGTGGGCAAAATTATTTCAGTGATGTCTAGTTACATAGCTTACATGTCAGATCAGCAAGGCATGTGACAAGCTACATGTAGATATTCACAGTGCAGTTAAAATCTCTTGTTAGGACAAATAAATGTCTGCCCCACCAGTACTTTCTCCTCAAAACCAAAGCACTAAAGTCTTTGCACAGAAAAGTTTCAGAGTCTTGTAGAGAAAATGCCAAGGCTACAAAGCTATTGAGGGAGCAAATTTTGTCTAATAATGGGAATTTTACTCAAATCAACATATTGCCTTAGATGAGAACACAAGAGCTAAAGAGACACATGGCAAACCTGTAACGTGTTTCTTCAAAACCTAGAATGTTATGTTAAAGTTGTTAATTATAATAGATTTTGTATTGTTAACAAAAACAGCTGCTTCAGGAAAGGTTTACTTATTAAGATGAGAAAAGGCAAAAGGTCTTTTGAGTTGTTATTGCTTCCAAAAAAAATCTAATGACTTCTCTCATCCAAATTGAACTGACAGCTGATAATCCCAGTTCTCAAACTCATTCAGTCATAGATTGTTATCTTGACCTGATAAACTGAAGGTGAAATGCCATGAAAAGAAAAAAATGAAGTCTGGAGGGATTGGACTGCAGGATGGAGACATTGCTGAAGTCTGGAATTCTATCCACATTCACCCACCCAAAATGGTAATTAAGCATACAATTTTAAACAGAGTAGCAAAAATTTCTTTGTTGCTTACAGAGTGTTTTCTCCTTATTCCTGTAAGTATTCATTGGCACAGATGAAGATTTTCTGTGGCAAGTAGCCAAGAACTTTAAAAAAATTTTTTTTCTTGGAGCTGGACATATGCATATGCACTATTCTGTCATTTCAAGCATGTAGACATTGAAAACATGCTGGAAGTAGAGTGTCTGCATTTTGTAGTTGTAATGACAGAAGTCAGTTTGTGTAATCAGGTAGCATTCTCTATTGTGTCACATACCTTCAGCAGCGTAAACTTTTGAGAGAGTAAGTAATATTGGAATCCAGTGATAAGATTCATATGTATTCAGTATTTTTTTGTTATCCTTTCCAATGAGCACATTAATACTAAACAGGCATACCTGATTTCAATGGGTAGTTTGATCCAGGAGAAAAGCCAACTGATGATGGCTCAGCAGATGGTTTGCTGAGATTATTGTCATTACCAATACTGATTCTTTTTCATTTGTCTTTGAATTAAGCGTATAGTTTTCTAGTCTATCCAGAATTAAAGCTCTTTGGAGCAGCTGTGGCTTCATCTTCAACTGCTCTTTCTCTCTACATTGTCTAGAACATTAAAGAGAGCTAACCTAAGTAGTTATTGCTCACCAATAACTTGTTAGTTTCTATCTGAAACACACAGAACAACTTTGTGTCCATAAGATATGTTCGCTGTTTTGCATTAGGTAATACAAAACAGCACCCTATGACTTCTTTATACTGAAGTTTCCCTTTTTATTGTAGAATCACAGAATATCCCAAGTCGGAAGGAACCCATAAAGATCAATCAGTCCAGCTCCTGGCTCCATGCAGGACCACCCAAAATACAAACCCTGTATCTGAAAGTGTTGTCCAAATGCTCCTTGAACTTGGGCAGCCTGGAGCTGTCCTCTTTTCCATGCTTGATCATCCTCTGGTGCAGACCCTTTCCCTGACCCCCAGCTGCCCCTCCCTTGACACAGCTCCATGCCGTTCCCTCGGGCCCTGTCGTTGTCACACAGAGCAGAGCTCAGCACTGCCCCTCCGCTCCCTTTGAGGAGCTGCAGCCGTTATCAAGCCTCCTCTCAGCCTTCTTTTTCCATCCAGAAGCATCCTCACCTTTTCGTATGCCTTGCTTTTATTACTACATGTTGAGAAACTGAAGAACATGCAGGAAATATTTATTCAGTACATATTTGGACAGGCTCACGCTCTCATCAAAACGGTGCTATCACATGAGCTCACTGGAGTTTGCTAGAAGTTTGATGTTATTAGAAGTTGGTAAAACCACCTGACAAAGATATTTGTGGCTACTGCTAGTCACAAATACACTGTATACCGTGTTTATTACTTTCTATTTGTGATTGCTTGTTTTTTGTGCTGTTTACTCTCAAGTTTGCAGACAGCTAGCACAGAGACGCAACAGAAGCAGGAAACAGCACACTGTGGTGGGCTGCAAAAAGCTGAGTTAGAATTCTGTGGTTTGACATACTTTTTTTTCTTCCTCTTTTTAAGGATAGCAATAAATGATGATAAAAATCATACATTTTAAACAAATAACTATGTTGAGGACTAGAATTGTGGACTTGCTATGTGACTTTGAGCATATTACTTTTCCAGCTCTTTCCACTTGAAAGAATGACTCCCTCATGTTCATGGTAACCCCCTCATTATTACATGTTGATCTGCAGATTTATTTGAAGAAATGATTCCATATTGGAGAAGACTATGCTCGAACTACAATAAATGTAACTTTCCCTTTCTCAGTTTTGATTCTCAAAGAAATTATTTTTGCTAATACTGGAACAAATAGGGTTGACATCCATCACCAAATTATTTGCAGTACAGAGCTATAAAAATTTGATCAGAACAGAAGAATTTCTTGTGGAAATATTTTTATTAAAAAATGAACAGATTTTGTTTTGAATCAGAGTTGAAAATAACTGATAAAAGTGTGAAGCACTGAATTCTGGGGCTGAGAAATTGTCTGGTTGCTCATGGAATTAATGCAAGTTCATTATGCATGTATCTTATGAGAAAACCTTTACAATGTCATGGATATTCATTTAAGTCATTGGAGTGCTTTTATTGACTAAATATTGAGTCACTTATGAGTGCTGTTGGACTGCTTTTTCACCACAGGAGGGAATGAGAGGAAAAGGAATATGCAAGGCATCTCTGTTGTTTTTTTCTAGTACTGCTGCACTGTGTTCATTCACCTTCCATCATCTCAGTCGCAGCTTTTGTAAGCGCTAGTTCAGCATAACAAAGGCTCTTCAGAAATGAGGTAATGGTTGTGAGATCTGAATATTGAGCTTGAGATCTCATGGGATAATGTGCCTACATAATTGTTGATTTTCAGCTTAGTCTGTCATGGGAAGTTCATGATGTTTTATACAAAACTCTAACAATATTTATTGCAATCATATTCTAGCAACTTGGGATCACAAATGGCTTATTATCTACATAGCTGGAGGAACATCTGCTGCTGTTTTACTGTTAGTTTTCCTACTCATTTTCTGCATCACCACTGCTTATCGCAAAAAGTGAGTAACAAGTCAATCTGCTTGATATAGAAGCATGAAGCTATTCAGGTGTTAAAAGCTCTTCTATGCTTATCAGAGGCTATAAAAAAAATTGTAGACCTGGATATTTAATTTTCTTGCAAAAACTTTAAACTTGAAAAAACTAATCAGTTAAGCAGGTTATGAAATAAGTTGCTTTATTTTTCCCAATACAAGAACAAACAAAAACAACAACAAAACAAACAAACAAAAGATCTTACTCAAGTTCCTTAGCTAAATGCTTATTGTAATATTAACAGGTGATTAGTAAAGACTAACATAAGCTTATGCTGGACTGTTCCTATTTCATGCATAGAGAGCACAAGTGACATCTTGAGGTTTTCTTACATCTTGTAGCTTTTTGTATCTACTGTACACTAAGCATACAGTAGTAGTCAGATCCAGAATTTCTGCTTCCAGTGGAAGGAAATATTGAGTAGAAAAAAATAAATATGTTTATTTCCCATTCACATCACATGAAGCTTCCGGAATTTGCTGGCAATCTGTCATTGTTCTTGCCCCTGAACAGGAGCTCTTTTGATGTGTCTCCAGACCATTAGAAAAGAGTGCTAATCTCTTGCATGTTATGGTCTGCATTCAGAGGAAGGTGTATTGAATATTATTGATATCAATGGGCAAGTAAGTTACATCAGTGTTATCTCTTTTATGCTGGAATTAAATAGTTTGGACTATATTGTAACACATGATGCAGTTCCTTCCATTCTGTTTCTAACTGAATGTGTGTCACCAGGAAGAAGAGGAAGAGGATCACAGAGGCCTTATTTAATGCTTTGTACTGTACTCAGGACGAGGTGAGATCAGCTGGAGTTCACTCATACTTTGTATTTTGCATATTTTTTAACTTCATCTCTTCTGTATATGATGTTTACATTCCCTGAGTTGCATAGTATGATCTTAAACTACAGTTGGAAACACATTTCCATTGTTCTTTTTTTCTTGATGAAACAATTGTATTTAAAGATTTCTGCCACGTAGCTCTTTTGGTTTGCAACATTTGAACTATTTGATTATTGGCAATATTTATTTATTTTTTCCCTCAAGTTGGTAATTTCAAAACTGAGGCAAAAATCCCACCAAAAAATGTATCCTGTCATATTATTTGTATTCACCTATTTCTAGTTCAGCTTCACTATAATTTGTTGGTATAACTGTTAAATTGCTTCTTTTTGTATTTTAAGAATCAGTCAACTATTTGGAGTTCTGTGACATTTTCCCCCTAATAATTCCATTCAAAGCCTGAGTAGAAAGAGAAGATCCAACTTTTCTGCTTCTACCTTGTCTCTTTATACCCTGAGCCAAGGCATGAAGTAGCAATGTGCTCAGGAAAATGACCCACATAGTGGCTGTGACTCTGCCTTTCTATCTATTCCCCTAAGACAGCACTTGAGGAGATTTTCACTATAGATACAGACTTACAAAAAAGTCCTTTAACCTTCTGCCTCTTGGGTCAACATTAATCATAGCCTAGAGACTTGCCAATTACCTCAGAAACCATCTTCTGAAAGCACGGCAATTTTGAAAACACGACAACTAACAGAGGCACCACCATATTAATGATTTGAGTAATTCACAGTATGGTCCATATCTTTACAGTAACTCACTTTTTAAGATTGATGTGGGTTACTATTTCAGTATGTAAAGTGTGTACATGAAGAGAATGAAGCATTCCAGTGATACTGATACTTTGATACTTTACCAGTAGTGCAATATGACACAGCTGTGAAGTATATTCAAAGTACAACTTTGAACTGAATTTGAAAGTTATTCATGAAACAGGAAGACAAAAACTACTTTCATGGTTGAGTATTTCCCAGCAACAAAACAGCATGAGGAATTTTTTTTTAATTTTTTTTTCATTTCAAAGTCATTGTCTGAAAAGTCCTTCAACTTTCCGTTTTTCTTTTTTAAATGTTCTAGGCTGGTAACAATTATGCAGAACCCAATTATCACACCACATGGGACACAGAAAGAGGAAAAGAAGAGTCATCATTCAGGACAGCACAGGAGATTTACGTGAACTGCATAAACCTAAGAAATGATAATTAGCTTCTTTCTTGTGAATGAAGTAACCCGAGTTCAGACCATGTCGTTGCATGTTGGACTTGATTTGTTTTGCACAGGTAGCTGCAGAAGGTTAAACTGGCTGCCAAGCATGGCCTATGCTGCCCTGTCCAGACAGCACAGGTACCCAAGCCAGTCAGGGTTCATCTGCATTATGAGATAGTCTGAAGCACTAACGCACCCTTTGATTCATATGTACAAGTGAAGACTATTGGTACTTCTAATACTTAAACATTTTTACCCAGTAGGTGCACTTACAGGTAATAATTTCAGAACAACTATGCAGAGCAAAGCAGTATATGTTTAAACTACATTCATTTCATCGGAAGAAAAAATGTCTGAGAAGCCTGTGTGGCAAGGTGAGAAAGAAAATGTGCTCCGTGTTCTCTGTATTCATGACTTTCAAATCTTAAAATTGAGAGCATTATAGAATAAAAAAAGTCCATGATTTTCCACACAGGAGGTGTTATCACACTGTTGGGCAAACAGTATTATTCAGCTGGCAAAAGCAAATGTATCAGGGAAACCTGAAGTTAGATTTGAAAGCAGGAAGAGAAGCGTGCTGTCTGACAGTGATGTGGTTTACATGCTTCTTGCCACTCACGACAGCTATTCCAGTGCTCACTGCTTGCGATAAAGAATAGAAACACAGCCCCCAGCCAACATGTATTTTCACACGCATGCACACATTTTTTTTTCCTCTCTCTTGAATGCTCAGGAGAAAACAAAACATTAAGACTCTGTTACTGTCAAGTTATATTTAATAATAATTTATTATAAGGTTTAGTTGAATGAAAAATAAATGAGAACATGGAAGATACATGAATAAATGATGCAAAGCAGAAAAAGCACGATTGAGAACATTTACAAAACAATACACAGATGTGTGTTTGTATGTGTTGCATATGTATATTTTCTGCTAAAAACTACAAAACGAACCACACAGAAATTGAACAAACAGACAAAAATAAAAAAAATAAAAATTAAACAAACAGAACTAGAAGGCAGACCTGAGAATTAGGATCTACACATCTTTTGGCCTTTCACAAATCTGCCATATTACTGAAGGATGGAATCCCAGTAGATGATATTACCATGAAAGCTGATAATTATACATGTCTGTATTCTACAAACTGTATGCCTGGCCCACCTATGCCTGATTCCCCTTTTCTCTTGTTGCATTACTAAAAGTGTGACTGAATATAACTTTTGTTTTGGAAAGGTTTTGTGGAAGGCATCATCAGTCTGCCTACAAAACAATTGCCGGCTCAACTTGGCTGGCAAAGGAGCAACAGGCTGACAGTGAAAAGCAGAAGT